GGTCAGGAACTGGAACAGACTGCCTAGGGAGGTGGTTGAGTCATCATCCCTGGATGTGTTCAAGTGTCGCTTAGATGTGGTGTTGGGTGATACGGTTTAGAGGTGAACGTGTAGTGTAGGGTCAGTGGTTGGACTCGATGATCCCAAGGGTCTTTTCCAACCTGAATTGTTCTGTGATTCTATGACTGTCTTTGCAGCACTCAGGACTGGGCCTGGTGGCTGCAGAGATCTTGCACACGGGATTGAACCCTGCTCAGTTCAGACAGGCAGCTCCAGGGAAGGGACCGAGCGCTAAGCCGTGCCTCCACCCAAGGCAAAGCATTTCTTGAAGCTTAACGCCAAGAAGGGCTCGAAGAGAAAACCCAGCATTACAGGCTATTCATGCCAGGGAAGGGACCGAGCGCTAAGCCATGCCTGCACCCAAGGCAAAGCATTTCTTGAAGCTTAATGCCAAGAAGGGCTTGAAGAGAAAACCCAGCATTACAGGCTATTCATGATGCTGGAATTCAGTTTTGGGAGGATTTTGCTGCATCACTCATTAAGCATTAGTCACAGCCAAAAGCCCAGTGCAATTGTTTGGATAAAGCTGTAAATATAGTGTGGCACTGTTACCATATTGGCTTCTTTTATTCTGGCACACAGGGCTCATGCTTATCTCTATGGCCAGCGTGCAAATGGATTAAATTTAGAAAGGGCTAAGCTATTTTCTCTCACTAAAGATAAAACACATGAAAATTTTGTTTACTGGTTTTGAATAACAATAATTAAAGGGATGTTTTCAGCTTGAAGTGTTGAAGCTGAAAAATGTTGAAAACTTTAAAAAAGGAGTCACAAGTGCTTCCAGCAGCAGTCTCCGGCACCAGGCTTCTGCAAAGAGTGAATGAACGAGAGCACTTGCCACGAGACTTCCCCCCTCTATCAGTGTTCTTTGGAAAGCTTTGTCAGAAAATGAGAATGGAATCAAAATTAATTTCTTAAAGCTAGGTGTACCAGGAAAAGGATTAATCTGAATTTGAAATGAGGTCATGGTTTCAAACCCAACAATGATACAGACTGGCAGAACGAAGGTAGTGATTCTGTTGATGTTTGTCAGCAGATAAAATTGTTGCTAAGCAGATGTTACAAACTTAGGATTTATGATTGTAGCTCCCTGAAGGCCTCCCCAGAGCACGACTGTCTCAAAGCCACATTAACAATACTTTATTTTCCATTAAAAGATCTGTCACAGGTTAAGTGAAAAAAAAATCTGTGAATTACATATGGTTGGTATTTACTTAATGAACATTAAATTTGCGGGATGCATATTTTCACTATAGAAGCCTCTTTTATCTGCTTGTAACTGTACCTGACTCTGGGTATCTTCTCGCTTACTTTGATTCTGTTACTGTAGAAACTTCTAATAAAACTTGACCCAGTCGCTTTCAAGAAATTCTGCAAAGAAATATTAACTATTGCAGTTAAAACGTTATGGTTGTTTTCATGTAAATTGTTGGTTCTTAATGCTTTGAAGCAAAGACTTTAAACTTTGTAGGATCTCACTGGTGGTTGTATTGAGATAACAACATGCTTTACCATTGTGCTGAAAATAATTTCACTTATGTTTACGGAAATAACGTTACGGGCTGTGAAATATTAAAAGAATACCATGATTAGCATCTCAAAAGCACCAGAAAAAAAATTAATCAGGCTGAATTTGGGCTAAAATTGTAGTGGAGTGTCACACATTACCCTGTGAGCAAAAAGGGAAGTGTGTGGTGAGTGTACGGCCCGCTGTCAATCTCACGTCCCAAGCAGGGCAAAGGAGGTAGGAAGCAAGTAATAGCTAATCACTTATTTTAGTTTCAGACTTGTTTTTCAAGTGTTTCGTCTCCCCCCACTGGAAAACATGGCACCCTGGGACATGCTCGTGCTTCGGAGACCAAGTGTAGTGTTTGTGCAAAATGTAGCACTAGTGCTGTTCTAAACCTCAAGGATAATCCATAAAATAACTCCAAATCCATATGCATTGAATATTTTATCCATTTGTGCCTTCATCAAATGTTACTAACAGATTTTTTACCAACTGCAGTGCTGGTTGTGTTTTATAGTATTGCTAACCTATTTCCAAGGTGAATGCAGTGTCTTCAGTTTGCAGCTTCAGGGGGCAGAAAGAAAGGAAGAAAAGGCAAGTTTTGATCCTGAGTGAGTTCCTGAAAAAATGCTGTGCAAAATCCATGTGCTAATGATTAATAACAGTGGAAGAAAAGATTCAGTTTTTGGAAGTAAACTCAAGTTCTTTACTGCTGCAGGGTGGTGGCAAATGGAACAAGAGTATGAGAGACCATTTGAGCTTGTCAGTTCCATCTAAGTACCTTTAAAATAATTTCTTTTGCTGAATTTCAGTGGTGCAAGTGCTCCAAGAGCCTTGTCTGCAGTACCTTCCTGCTGCTTTCACGACAACCCTTGCAGATTTCACACCACTTCCTTCCCCATGCTTAGAAGCCAGAAAAAAACTTTCCTGTATTGAGGATTTACTCAGAATTTACTTCCTAATTGCTTCTGAAAGCTAGACTGCATAGGGGACTCTAGTTTTCCATTCTGACAGGGCATTGCCCAGAAGTAGTCTTATTTCTCAGCTCTAAACTTCAAGATGAAAGTGCTGCTGTAGTTGTAACCTCTGTCAGTAGAAAAAAAATCTCTGCATTTATTCCCCTTCGCAGGACAATGTGCCACAAGGAGCACGACATGATAGGGATGAGAATAAACAAGCCACAGGCGACAGATTGAAGTTCTTGCTACTTAATGGTTTAATCGTGCGATGTGAGAGTATACTTTGTGTATGATCAGAATGAGCGTTGGGTAAGACCTGCACAGAGAAGAATTTAGCGTTTAAGCTAAATATGGAGAAAGCCCCCAAACTCTGTCAGCTTGCTAGCCTATTCTGACCAGATTTCATTGCAAAGAGAAAGTCCTTGCATTTTAGTGCAACATTTTGCAGTATTTTTGCAATGTTTCATAGCCTAGAAAGGGCAACTTTTAAGGGGCTGTGGGCACTTTACAGCCCTTCCCTACTTTTTTCTCACTCCTCTCCTGAAATACCGCTGAGATTTTAGCTCTGTTACAGGGGAGGAGCGATCAGCTGCAGGCAGATGTGTCAGGTGTGTAACAGGGTCGTTTTGCTGATAGCGCGTGGCTCAGGGCTGCAGGTGTCTGTAGACATCCCAGCCAGCAGCACAGGGAGGGTGATAAATAGCTTATTTCGCAGAGAACACCAGAGAGACAGTCTCGCAAACCTGTCAACAGCAAGCCTGGCCCCTATCTCTGTTGTTCCAAAAAAGAGGCTGGCCACAGAACTTCAAAAGAAATGAAAGATGGTAGTTAAGAAAAAAGGTAACTGTCATGTCATACCTGTGATACAAAACTTACCATTTTCTATCCATTCCCAACATATTTGGCCTTCGTTCTTTTTTTTTTTCCTCTACTTTTCCTGAAATTTTCTCTGAGGCTTCCTTTCCAGAATGGGAGGTGTTGCCTGAAAAAAAGTCTGTTGCAATCTTCTGCATCTCCCTCTCAAAGCTCACCCTTTCTCGGACATCCATAAGGCACTGAGCAGCAGCCAGGCAGATTGCCTAGTGGTCTTATTTACAGGCTACATTGCTAATTAAAATATACCTCCCAAAACCCAAGTACTTCCTAACAGGACACTGTCACTCCACATTTTTTGTTGCATGTCCTGGAAGCACAGTTGGTTTTGACAGACAGGCTGACCCAAGGCTTGCTGACGCTGATAGGAAGCTTCCCATCTACTTCAGCTTCAGAAATGGTCCTTATGGTGTCTGACCCTTGCTTGGCCCTCCACAAATGCTGCGACTAGCTAAAAAAGCTAAAAAGCCTAAAAAAAAAAAAAATCAAATCAGAATCGAAGATGCAAAGCCGGTTTTCTGCACCACTCTTTTCTCAAGAATTATGTGTTGCATCACCTGGGGGAACCTTTTCCCAGGCCAGTGCCTCACTGTCAGCATCTTTTTTTCCGCCCCCTAGGGGTTTTGCTACAGAGAAAAGCAATTCGCTCTTTTATGTATGTAGCCCAGCAGGAGTTTCATGCATTCAGCTACTGAAAAAGAGGAGGTGCTCAGGTGCTGATGAAGTGATGCTAGTATCAACTTCATGTTTCAGCAAGTGCAGAGGACGCTGTGACTTGTGATATTATTTTTTTCCCCTTTGAAGTACTAAAACAACGAATGATCAGCCTCCCCTTAGGCTTCCAAGTAATTGTAGATTATAACAGCTCCTTGAATAAAAAGCAGTTACCTTACAGTTTCTTAATTTTCACCTTGAATGAGACTTCTTCAGAAGAGCTTGAAGACTAGAAAGAATCATTTTGCAAGGTGCTGCATATGTTTATAGAGCCTTTATATAGGTTGGATGTACTAAATGAGATAAATTCATTCAAAGCTTAGTGCTCCATCAAGTTAAAGAGGATCTTTCATGCCATGAACATAGGTTGATTCCTGTTTTTACTAGCGTGTAATTATAATCTCATCTCTGAGTTTACATTTTCTTCTCTCCCCATGCAGAAACTACGTCCTTGAAAGAAGCCGTCGTTTCTTATTCCAGGCTGTTACCAGTAGATAACAGACTTCTAAACTTACAGATCTACAAACTTCTTCAGTGCGTTCATGAGAAAGACAAGAAGCAAATAAAAAAGCTGATCCAGCATGGATTCCGAAATCTCATTAATTTCACAGACCCCGTAGAAGGCTATAGTGCCCTTCATTTGGCCTCCATTAAAAATGACACCGACATGTGCAGCTTCTTGCTGGAACAGGGAGCTGATCCAGATGTCCAGGACAAAATGGGACGCACTCCAGCAATGAAGGCAGCTGAGCTAGGCCATGAGGTAGTTTTGGATTTATTGATAAAAGCTAAAGCAGACATGACTGCGGTAGATAATGAAGGAAAAGGTAAGTAACGGGGAAGCTTATCAGACCAGAAATACCATTGAAATGACACTAACTATGTTACACATTTGCTACCTATATTGTGTCCTATCTGTAGAGAGGAATTGTGGTTGAGGGTGGTCCTTACAGCTCAACAGAAGCTACTGGCCATAAGACCTATGAGGAAAATTAAAATAATTCTCCCTGAACCATCTGGGCCTTTAAATCATAGGCCTCTCCCATACATAGCTGAAAGACAACTTGCAATTGAAAATCACGTTCCTCCCTTGACGTGTCACATATTAAATTCTGGTTTACTCCTCAAGTTCAAAGGCCCTGAACTAGAGGTCTTTTTTGCGTGTATATACCCTAAGAGAAGTTAATGTGTCTTTGTTGAAGGAATTTGTCCATTCAGCTGTGAAGCTTACAGCCTGAGTAACCTCTCTAATAATTCAGTATTGCACCATAATCCCTGCTGTTTTTCTTTGCAGGCATCTTGTTTTACTGCATTTTACCTACAAGACGGCACAACGTCTGCATGCAAATGGCCTTGAAATATGGTGCAGATGTTAACAACTGTACCACTGAGGGGAAACCTTTATTAGTAGAAGCCTGTGAGCGAGCTCATGATATTAAAGAAACGTGTCTGAATTTCTTGGAAAGAGGAGCCAATCCCAGTGCAAGAAACCCAGTATGAATATTTCTGTAACTAAGAACATATATACCAGAGTACAGAATAGTTACCAGATGAGTAGAGTATGTCAACTTAAATCCTCACATTAAAGTTATAAAGCAGTGACACACACTTAACAGTGCAGCCATGCTTGTCCCCTGTTTCCATATCACCCTTTTTTGCAGGAGTTGGGATTTAAGTCTTTTGGTTGAACCACATATCCTGATTTAGATTTTTGTAGCTCAGAGTGCAAATATTTTGCAAAACCAAAATGTAGCTAGGCCAGCTCTTAGGAGTTGCAGTTCACCGTACTTCAGCAGCGCAGTGCTGATTTGCACTTTTCCTCAATGTGCCCTAAGGTTTTAAGAATTGAAATACTGTACGCGACAGGGTGAGTCCAGCATGAAAAATCCAATGGAGAATCAAGGCAGGGACAAGATGCAGGGAACTCTTTTCTCTTTTCTGTACATCTTAGTAATTTATTTGTTTACTTCCTTAATTTAACCTGAAGCTCTGTGCTATTGGCCAAGTCAAGGAGCTCAAGTCTTCCCTTTAAAGCTACCCAAAAGTAGCTTTTTTTACTTTGGTCCTGGTTTTGCACTCTCTTTCCTGGCTGGTACCTACAGCAAAACCAATGTTTGGGCAACCTTATCCCATCCTCTCACACGTGTGTCTGCTTCCTGCACTCAGTGTACCAGCAACATGAGAAACCTGCATTTTTTAAATTTTTTTTTTGGCAATATGATGGGCGCATGCCTGGTCATGTACGGGGAATGTTTTGCTAGGTGCAGAGATAGACAGATATCAGGGAAGAGTGGATGGTTCAACGGAGCGAATCCACAGCTCACTACTCTGTCTACCCCTGTGTAGAGTGGCAAATCAGATATCCTAAGCCTTGCTGTGGGCCAACGCTTTTGCCCTGAATTAACACAACACAAAATGCTAGCAATCCACAATCAGCAATGTGCTCTGTTCTTGGGAAGGTCACCAGATCTACTAAAGTCAGCCATTATAAAGTAAAAACATGCTGCTAATCAAAGATGCGCTATTATCTATAAAAAGACATAGCACTAATGTAGCAGAACGCGAGCTTTTGCTCACAAAGCAGTAGTGAAATCCCTCAGTTGCTCTGCCTTCACGGTAACACTCCTCCAGCCATAATCGCTCCTTGTGCCATTTCACGATAGAGGTGGTATTTTGTGGTTAATTTTGTAACCATGCATGAGAGCACATACACAGAATAAAGAACTCTTTAACCAACCAACTTGAATAATTTGGACTATTCAAGACACTGAAGTTACTGATGTACCCGAGTCACTGGGATTTAACTGCACATATTTTAGCAGCATTATGACAAGATTCTTCAAGTTTACTAAACTATCGGACTTGTCTCTGGTTTTTTGACAATACCTAAAAAGGACACCTTAATTTTTATACCACCTTGCGACAATCAGATCATATTGTTCCAACGCAAATTAGTATACAAAAATTCTGAATTATTTTCTTGCTACCCTGCAGGCTACAGGTCGCACAGCCTTAATGGAAGCCGCGAGAGAAGGCATTCTCGAGCTGGTGCGCGCTCTCCTGGAGAGAGGAGCCGATGTTAACCTCGTTGACCTCGAAGGACAGAGTCCTGCACATTTTGCAGCCAAAGGAGGGTTTTTTGAGGTATCATCATTTGCAGCATTAAAAGCATTACTACAAAGCCAAACCTTGGCTATTTTGTTGTCATCATTGGGATTTTTTTGGTTGGTTGGTTGGTTTTTTATTTTGAGTCCAGTATCTCAGCTGATCAAAGCTTACTAGTCAGTAGTCAAGCCCTGCTTCCTTTTAAGTATCAAAGGGAACCCAGCAGTGATAAAATCATCTCTCTCATAATTGCAGAGGCTTTTTTCCCCAAGGTGTCTCTGAATGTGTGTGCTAGTGGGATTGTCCGGTGTGAAAAACCTCCACTGGAGAGCTTGTTTTTCTCAACATGCGGTGTGTCCCAGCTGTCCAACAGGTGAAACATTAGCCTTATAAGAAGAGCAGATGCGAGCAGCTGCAGATAGGCACTTTCTTCCTTATCCCCCATCTCATTTTTTTTTTTGATTGCACACACAAAGTCAGAGTTACTTTAAGACAGTGACCTGCTGGGAGGAACAAAGAGTGTCCTTGGCGTCTACAACCAAACAACGTTTCCATTTCCTCAATTAAGTGAGCACAGCACTATAGAAAACACCAGTGTTATGTGTGCATCTATCAGCTGGGCATGGGAACCTGGGAATACAATATGATACTGCATTTATTTGTAAATCATCCTCATGCTTTCCCATCTTAAGAAGCAGACAAAATTTTTTATGATAATGCCTTTGTTTTTCTAGATTTTGAGGATTATTTCAGCTTATAACGGAGACTTGGGCCTGATTGATATGAATGGTAACACACCACTTCATTATGCTGCAGAAGGAGGATTTTTAAATTGCTGCAAGTTTATAGGACAAAGAGGTACATCAAAAATGAGTTACTTTGCAACTATCACATATATTCTTTTTCTGTGCTAAAGGAAAGATTGCACTTGGTGTTTATGAAGGATTTGACTCTCTAGGTTGTCATGAGGCAAATGTAATTCTCATTAAGAAGCACCTAACATAAGCTATTATAACTTATTTCTAATGAAGTGGCTGAGGTAAAACATTTATCGAAGAAAGTGCCAGAAACATCATGGGTTTATATAATTTAGAATTGATATGTATGAAGTGGTTCTGATTTTAGTTGTTTTAGAAGTATTGCACTGAAACTTCTAATGGGAAATTAACTCTTGGTTTTCTGGTCATTTAAAAATAAAATTATCTCAGTGCAGTCATGGAGAAAACTTGGTGCCCCTAGGCATTGTAACATACTCCAAAGCAGCTGTGATAATTTTCTAACTCAATCAGATGATCGTAGCACTTGAGCCTTCAATTCAGGAGTCTGTTCTTTGCGATTCAAACTTTTAACTAGTGGCCCACTCCTAAGTTGCAAGGTTGGGTTATAGAACATTGAGCAGTATTTTCATCTTTGTTTCTTCTTAACCTTGCTCACCACTTTAAAAATGTGAATTTTTCACTGAACTTCTGTTCTTGAGTGGACAGCTAAGTAGAGCATGGGTTGCCCAATGAATGTTCCTTTGGGAAACAAATTCTGACAACACGTGGCTAACTTTCCACTATCGCTAGTTATAGGTAAGGCAGTAGAAAATTGTAGACCCATGGCAATTAGTTGCACATATTTTTACAAGTGTCATATTAGGTAATTATGAATTGCACTACATTATCAGTGAAGTTGTGTCTGTATTTTCAGGCTGTGATCCTACACATAAAAACTTGTTAACAAAGACCCCAAGAGCAGTAGCCAAGGAAGGCGGCTTTAAAGCAGCAGCAGTAGCGTTGCGCAAAATGGAAAAAGCCTTTAAAAGGCAGTCCAAGCCCGGGGCTAAGAAGGACGTCCCTCGCTGGGCACTGAGGCTGTACGACTGGTCCTTAGAGCACCAGGCTGCCCTCCGCAAGGCGTTTATGGCCACCACCCAAGTTGATGAGATGGTAGCTGAAGATGATTTTATCTCGATTATTCAGAAGCGCTGTGCCTTTGTGAACATTGAACAAATAAAAACTATTGCTGAAAAGCACAGAGAATCTCGGGAATCTGAGGAAATCAACATTGAAGATTTTTTTAAAGGCTCTAAATACTTGAAGAAAGTCTTTCTTATAACATCCTTTGGATCCAAGAAAAAGAAGGGGAAGACGGGGAAGAAACAAAGAGGCAAAAGAGGTGTCGCCGTCCCTGTGCCAATTTGTGTGATTCCAAAGAGCACACGTCCACAGAGGGAGGACGGCTTCCCTGTGTACATGATTGAGGCTGTTCAGAACATTGCTGAGAGCTACCATTGTAACCAAGACCACCCATCTGCCCACCCCGTGCACGATGACCGTGCCTGGTATATAGATGAGCCAAGGAAAGTGTTCGTGAATATCAACTACCTCGTCAGAGCAGGAGACATCCTGTCTCTACAGAAAGCATTCGAGGAGGGCGTGCCAGTAGACATAAAAGATAAATATTACAAAACACCTTTGATGGTTGCATGTGCAAGTGGGAACATAGATGTTGTCCAGTATCTTCTGGAAAAGGGGTAAGATCATTTCAGAGATTTTTTTTGTTTTTTAGATTGCTGTCTTGGAAGGGCTTTTAAAAGTGAAAATTTGGATGCAACATAGCGTGGTTTCATTTTTACTTACATAACATTAATATTAAAGTTCTATAAGATCTTGCATTAGAGAGGGTTGGTTTATTACTTACTATTTTTTTCGCATTTCAGTAATGGAAATAGAATCACCCAAGAGGTAAGTTCCCCAGGTCTGAAATTTTTAGTGTCCAGGCTGTTGGCATTTTGGTCAGACACAGAGAGCCTAGAAATCCAGTCTGTTGGAACCAGAGTTAATTCATACCTATGACTCAAACAGCACATGCTCAAAACTGAACTCTCGAAATCAGATGAGTGATTTTGGGGAAATCTGGCTCAAGTGACTCACCTGAAATCATTAAGGTACCCTTATCTGGATCATCAAGGCAATCCCAGACTTCCCTGTTGCACATGCCAGGGCTTTTGCACACAGATGTTTTAAGGAGATAAGCCTTATAATCACTTTTTTTCTGGTGGCTAAGGCAGCGGGATTTACACCAGAAGCATGCACACTATTTATTCTGTTTCTTGCCTTAGAAATGCTTCAGCAATTTTGTAGCCTACAGACACACTTGTGAAAAGTCTCAATGACAGCTTAAAAATGAAAGCAATTTAAGAGAGATTCGGTCATACTTGTGTAATAGCATAATGGCTTCTTTTTTTTTTTTTTGTCGGACTGCTGTAGTCCTACAGTCATTCACATAAATGATTAAATTAACTTTTTTCCAAGATACTTACAGTGTTACAGTAGCTTTGTTCTAAAAATTCATTTTAACATTAGTTCCTCAGGATAAGTGGCTGTAGTCATTGCTGAGTCACTGCAGAGACTTCACAACAGTTAGATCTTTACGCACCCTAGTAATTACACTGACATTGCTGGAGCATATGGAAATTTGTGTAAATGTGTATATTCAGGACTTACAAAGATAAGACTGCAAGGGTTAGCAAACTAATCTAGCAAATTAACCTGCACTGCTGTCATCGAGCCTCACTAGAGAGCACTGGGGTCACGTCATATTTAACAGTTATACCTAGAAATGTAGTAACTTTTAAAAAAAAAGTAACCATTTTGAGATTTTTAAATTGACATAAATCAGAAAATGGAAAGTTATTAGTAAGATGTTTAGCTCTGCATCTTTTAATAGCATGAACATTCAGATAATTTCAGGTTGATGTGAGAGTTCAAGTACTTTTTTACAATATAACCTTCTCAGTATGGTATCACAAATCCATATTGAATTGAAGAGAAAACATTTATCTAGAGCTGTAGGAAACACGAAGGTTTAAACATAAATTGATGGTATCTACCTTTTGTCTTTTTCCAGAAAGATTCAGAAATAAATTAAGTTCCGGCTAAAAGCAAATTCGATGCTTGATCAGGAGAAAACGCAGTAGAATTTTTAAGTCAGTGCCTTGTTGTCCCTGTTCCCTTCAATCAGCAAAAAGTTTTGCAAAAAGGCTTCAGAGGCAGAGTATTGGTACAGGCATGGAAGTTGGGTTGATAGAGAAAGTGGAATAACTATAACCACTTATTTTAATGAGAAATATGAAGGAAATGAAAACAGCACATGAATAAACCATAACAGCTAAGGAACTGAAGATAACAGAGGTTAAACTGTTTGGTCAGGGCAATTTGCTACAATAAGATCTCACCAAAGGTAGAATTCTGAAAAAGATTAAAAAAATTAAAACAAAACCAAGTTGATCTGTTCTTTTGCTCTAGAGCAAAACATTAACCATCTGACCTGAAAAGCAAAAAGCTATCCCTGGAAGCAGCTTCCTTCATAATTTTTCTTCCTTCATAATTTTTCTTCCTTCTCCCTTCCTCCATGTCTTCTGGAAAGACATCAAGCTCTTTGTCCCTAGAATAAAAGGGACAGTGACCTTGACTCAGCTCAGGACCTCTAGGCCATCTTAAATACAACGCAGAGTAATTCACTCCAGTGCTGGGGAATCCCCTCATGGGGTTTTGACCCCTTCTGAACCCAGAGGCGGGGAATGATCCACCCCTACAAATAATATTTCACAACAAGCTGTACATCGGATACTAAAATGGTTTCAGAGTAGCAGTAGCAATACAAACCCATGTATTTACATTGAATATGCTGCTACAGCGAGCAGTTAACATCAGTTGTACTTGGAGGTGTGGATTTTACTGTATCTAGCAGATAGAGATGGCTTCATCTGCCACAACTCCTTTTGCTCTTTTGTAGGGCTGATGTAAACATGACAGACAATTTCATGTGGACTCCCCTCCATCACGCTTGCTATAACGGACACCTGGATATTGCTGAACTGCTGGTGAAGGCTGGAGCAGCCGTGGATGCACCTGCAATAGGCAATGCGACCCCACTGATGAGAGCCATCGAGACCTCCAGACTGGATATAGTCTGGTTTTTAATCAGCGTGGGGGCTGACATCCAGATGACAAACAGTAATGGTAAATAGCAACGTCTCACAAAAAAAGCCCGTTTCCTTACATGTGTACATGTTTTATTAAAAGAAAACCAAAAACCCAAAACCTAAGCTCTTGGAGCACATTGAGAAGTGTTCTGAATTTACTATTGCGGTCAGGATCGGGATGAAGGCAAGAGGTTCAAATACTTTTGTACAGTGTAGAATCACTGTTGTAAGTAGTCAGCTTTCCTGAGGTTTATGCATCTAGAAACTGAAGTAGCATGATTAATTGCCCTTCACAAGATATATACAGAGTTATAAGTGCCTTTAATGAAAAAATCTATCTAGTTATTAATAGCATTTGACAGAAAATTAGATTTTAGTTGTGCCCAGCACATACACTAACACCCACTTAAATCACTTATATTTTATGCACAGGCAGTACTGGTTAAAATTTCTTGCTGCTTAGCATATAAATATTACTCTCTGAGAAAAAAATCCTGAACAGAATACCAAATCTGAACTGATACTGAAGTGTTACCTTCTTGCAGTAGATCCCTCATTGGCTCTTATTTCCTGGTTTTGGAGTAACTGAAACAGTTAACGTTTGTCACATTTTAAGCTCTTGCTGCAACGTAGAAAACAACGAATGAGACTTTTCTTGCCAAAATACCTAGTGGGTGAAACCCAGCTTCTAGAAAGGATGTGTATTCCTTATTTTTATCACCATGTGGAGTGCCAATTCACACAGCAGTTTAGCCTCACAACTGCTCTACAGACACAAGATCTCTTAAGATCCAGATTTTTTTTTTCCCCTTTATTAAGCACTGAAGGTGTTCCGCCCCATTTAAACCACAGGGCTTTCCAATGACTCCCTTCAGCCACAGAGCAAGCACTGGAAGAGGTAGACACCTACAATAACTTGGTCTACATTCCTAACCTTGTCCTATGCTAGTCATCTAGTGCTGAATGCTCTCAAAGATGAAAATCACAACCTGCAGGACCAGTATATCCAGCTGCAAATGTCAGGACATTAAGAGCAAAGCAATCACTCCAAGAATTCCCTCCATATTTCGTTCCTGCAAGCAATGCTTGCTGCTGTCACACTGACTCATTAATGAAATAGAGACCTCATTAAATTCAGTTGTCTGTAATGTCACTACCCAGTTGCAACAAGTGCCAAGGTTCATTTTTGTGGCTTATACGGGTGTTTATTTGTTGTTTGGTTTTTTTAACAGGAAAGAATGCCCTTGATATTGCTAAAGTGTTTGCAGATTCTAGAATAATTGATCTACTCCAAAATAAACTGGAAGGCTTGTTAGAAGCAGCAGAAGAAAACAAAGCAGGAAAAGTTGTGAAGCCAAAGTCGCCTTCTACACTGGTACTTGTAGAGGCACAAGCTATGGAAGAGAAGGTATGAGAGATGGTAGCAAAGGACTGATTTGTTAATAAGTTAGTAGAGTCCTGCTTTAATTTTTTTTGCCATCCATGTCTCTCTAAAGCTATAAATCAGGTGGTTCTGTTAAAGTGAGTGTTTTTAGAAGCCAGTGCTAGCACTTGTTCATTGGTTAAAATTTTGCCTTGGTAATTTTATGAACTTTGTGTCTTCCCCAGTCTCACTGAAGAATTATGTCCTATATCACTGACAGGGCACAGAAAAATATTTCCTCTTCTTCTCCCCCTCCTCCTGAAGTTTATGACCATCCAGCTCTGACATGGTAGATAAGGGGAGCATCTGTTTCTTCACAGGGCAAGACCAAGGCCCTTCAAACTAATAAAAAGGTCTTTTTGTTCTGCTAATGGAACTCACTGAGGTAATATCAGTGACTGATATTGCTGACTTCTCATTCCCCAGCTTGTCTCACATTCTTCCTCTTCCACTGTTGACCCAGAGTTCTGTTTCTCAGATCCCACACCAGGAACCAGGAGTCCCAAATACATTACCCTAGTTCCCAAGCTAACATCAGCCTCCATCACTACATCTTCATTGTCTTATCGTGGATGAGATTTTCCTCGATTTACTCATGTTACTTGTTAGTCAGAGCTGAGATGGTGTTTAGAGAGAAAACACAATTCTGTCTGCATTGCTGGAAGCATCCTTCAGCAGTCCTGCCCTGGGCGGGGTAGTAAACACACTCCAGCAGCCAAATTTTTGGTTCCCTCTTTCAAAAATGTTTTGAATTTGTCAGGACTAGTATAGGACTGTGATAGGTAGGAGGACGACAACCTCAGGTATTTATTTCATCACCCAGCACAGGATGGGATCACCAGTGGTACTAAAGGACTGTCTTGTGAGCCTTAAAGAATAGTGAATGTTTTAGTGTCCAAGAGGAATCATTCATACCTTTTAAAAGCTTTTCCCTCACAATTTTTCTTTATTAAAAGGAAAAAGAAAAAGCAGCTTTAAGAAAAACAGATTCTGAATGGATTAAGAAAAATACACCCACAGTAAACAGTAAAAGAAGTATCAGAAGTTACAGGACACAAGCTTTGCTTCCAAACACGCTGTACTTGTACAACTGGTAACTTGTCTTTCAGCCTTCACAGGTATCTCTGTCAGTCTCAGAAGAACCCATTCTCGAAAAGACAACACGTTCCTTTAGGGACAGTGTTATTTATCTGCACACTTTGATAACCAGTGGTGCTACCAAGAAAGAGGACATCGCATTCAAACCCAGAAAAGTAAGTACAGTAGCAAAACATGAGTTATAGTAAAGGTAGACCTTGCTGTAGATCAAACACCAGAACAATCTGATGAAACAACTCCACAATACAACTGACTTATAGATAACGTGACACAGACTAGAGATTGCCACGAACAAACTAAAGAGTTTATATATATATATATGTGTGTGTGTATGTACTACATAAATACACATATTCATATAAAACAAATTATCATGGAAATCAAGCTCTTAATCAAGTTTTAAAATGAGGTTAAAGTGAACCTGCAGTAAAATACAAATGCAATTATGTTCACAGTATAGATTGTTACATTTCCGCACTTAAAGGGTAGGAGTCCTTCTGCATAACACCAGCACTAACTTTTAACTTGCCTCCTCAATTAGTTGTCACCTGATTACTTATGTCAGCGACAGTTACCAAACTGAACAGATCATAGGACACTAAATGTTTCCTAGAGCTAGAATACTGGAAATGTAATTTTTATATCAGGGACTTGTTAGTACTCATTCACAAATAACCAAGAAACAGGAAAAGATGATCACAGAGAAGTGATTTTTAAATTATTTTTTTCTCCTTAAAAAGGAAAATGATACAATTGCTAACTGAGAAGCTCTGTCTGGAAGCTGGTTACCATTTCCCTAACCTTGATATGTACTAGTTTCTGCAGTGGTCCCAGGGGAACAAGACTACGCTGCCAGTGACTCCACAAGCTAATTGCTCTTCTCCACTCTGAAGACCTTGGGCCAGAGTCAGTCATTCTCAACAATTAGCTTTGGGTCTTCTTTCACATCTTATTCCAAATCTGAGCCCACAGCATGTTATAGATTGGATGTGACCACAAGAGAATGTTCAGCTTATAAATACACAAATTGGTGTGATACCTTTTACTGGGAGGTTGTTGTTACTTTCTGATGGGAGGCTACACTAGTTTTCTTCTGTGTCTCAGGATGGAAAGGAGTGCTAGAACGTGGCTCTGTTTGGCTCACAGTGTCTTCTTAATGCTTCGGTTGCATGTCTAAGTTAACTACAAATACCTTTGTTTTCTAGATTTGGAGCCCTGATGCTGCAATAAAGGAGCTAGTAAGAAAGCAAGAATTTCTTCGTGAGCGCTCTGCTCTTGATGGACACTCAGAAAGCTCCATGACCCCCTTTAACAGAGAATTTACAGAATAAGCACGCCAGCTGGAAGGAGCTACTTCAGCATGTGTTTTGAGAGGACAAAGATCTAAAAGGCTACTGCTCTGTAAGGAAGGAATTATGCAGTACTCAGCATATGTATCTCAGTTATGATTAAAAAAAAACGTAGCTAGTCCTCTGCAGATGATGTTGCTTCCACACAATCTTTTGTTAAGGGCTGGAGGAACGTTTATCCTCATGTAGTTCTAAGTCTCCGAGCTGGCTCAGCGTGGAATGGCTGCTGTTGACACATGTCCTTTGTCTTTGTAAAGGTATGGCTTTATGAGGCTATTTTTCACCCCAAAATGCTGCAAGGTAGTTTTCACCCCAAATTAAAACTTTTTCCTGGAATATTTAAGTGTTACCCTTTCTACTAAAAGGGTATTAAATATAAAGATAGGAAGACTCATGTGTTAGGACCAAGCTGGGTCCTAACGTGGGCTCTGCCAAGGGACTCGGTGCCTCCTGAATTCTGTTGAGTACACCTGCAAAATAACTGGCAGCACAAAAGTGAGCCAAGGCTGGAGCTTAAATAAGGCAGGAACAGGTGATAAGTTTTGGATAAGCAGAAGGTGGAGATACTGGGAATGTTTAGCCTAGAGAGGAAAGAAGTGAGAGGGAATGCCATAAATATTTCTAAAGAAACAAAAAGTGTGGAGAAGTGAAACAAAACCTCCTATCCTTTCACAGAACACAAACTCATCCAGACTATAAAGAAAATAAAAAAAAAACAAATGAGAAAGCAGCACACATTACATCCTGTGCAATGTGTAAATAGCCTGTGGAACCCTCTAGCCCAATTATCCTTAGAAACTTAAAATATTTACACAGATTGGGAGAAGAGCCTAGTTAGCTAACACATAAGGGATAAAAATCCCCTTGTGTTTCAGGACCTCCCCTAGTCACTGTTGGCCTACAATACAGAAAGTTTTCTAGCAATGCAGTTCACTTCCCAATCATCCAGTGTGGTGGTGTGTGTGTCTCTTAGGAGAGAAGATGACACTGGCCTGGACAGACACTGTAAATTAAATCAGCTTCTAGTTGCAAAGTGCCTATTCTTCAAATTTATATTTATGTTGTGAGACTTTGAGAGCTGTCTGGCTCATGAGTGCAGCTGCTTTTGAAAGTTTGTTTTCAAACATAATCTTTTCTTAACTGCAAGTCTCAAACTGAGCTTCAAACAGGGTTCTACCCTTCTGCTTCGTCATTTCTCATAATAATAACAACCAGGTTTTGCCCTTGTTGATGCAATACAGCATTCATTTGCTGAGGTATGAATTGAGCAGAGTGGAAGTTTGTTGAGGGAAGCCCACGTGGTCACATTCTTAAAAAGACACCAGCACTGCCCACATGGTGCTGCATGCAGGGATCTCTTTGTAACTCTAGCTGCACATCCAAATGTAAATGGGTGGTATTTAGCAGATAGCCAAGACAAATGCAAAGCAAGTAGATGTAGGATACTATTTTCAAATACCGCTACTGAACTTATTATTTGTGTGAATATGGTTGTGCATGAGTAGTTTATGACAAGTTGCTTACATTGAGGAAACATCCGGATATGTTTAGCATCTTAATAGTTCAGTATAAAGAAAGCCTTTACAGGCAAGTGAATTAGCGTTTCAAATTTCAGCTGTCTTGGAATTCTTTGCCTGTCAGCATAAAACTTCTGCTGGCTGCAGATGACTGTAAATTTCAAAAAGAATAGCATTAAAGTTAGTCATAGAAGGCAGTGCAGGCAAGGAGCAGGATACTCATGAACAGTTGTAAGTAAAACTGCATCTCTAAAAGAGGCCAAAGAGCAGCCGTCAAAATAAAGTCAAGCAGCACAGTCAGAAACTCCAAACTTATCCTGTAAGGTAAAACTGTGTTTCTGGCAGTTATGTCTTGGCCCTTGGCTAGGAGACTTCTGAGCTGTTGGAGCCAGTTTCTCAGCTTTCCTCTCTGGAAGTCCCACAGAAATACTCCTCACTCAGGTAACTACTTTGACATTAGGGTATGGGCCATTTTCTGCTGGCTGTGGTCTTTGAGGTAACTGTAAACAAACGGACCAGAACTTGAATGCAAAGGGAACGACCTAACCTGACCAGCAGGAAGAGCTGTCTCCTGCAGCAGTTTGAACCACATTGCAGAATCAGGCTTGTGGGTGAGTAGCCTCCAAGAAGTTTTTTTCAGAAGATAGTGCTCCAAGAGGGGGCCATTTTCTGTTCCCCTTAGAAATCCTTATGAGCATCACCTGTGCGCTGTTTCATCACAGCCACAACAGGCAGTCCTCACATATCTTCCAACAACCCCCCCCCAAAAAAGAAGCGGGGGAAAAGAGTTGTGCCAACTAGAAAGAAATATTTGTGCTCCTCTGGCCTGCTGTCTTCTCTGTAGCTCCCTGGCCTTCTCCATAACAGACTGGCAAAGAGTTGAGAGAGTTGTCTCACAGCCTTCCACCCCACCTGACGTGCGGAAAAGACTCTATAACACGAGAAGTTATAAAGTAGGTATGCTTTAATAAGCGCGCTGGTGCACGTGGGATATCTCCTCAAAGACATGCACACCCGACAAACGCAGTTACCCGAGTTAAATGCAGTAAGAGTTACATATTCATTAGACGCCTATACATATTCATAAACTATCCCAAAAAGGCGTTCAGCTCCGGTGGTCGGCAGCTCCTCTTCTTCACGCTTGCGCAGTGTCTCCTGGTGGTCGTGGGCGGGGTTCTTCAGGGATGAAGGCCGTAGGTCTTCTTCATAATCAACTCTTTGTCTGTTCCCGGCAATCCTGTAGGGCATCTTGTTCCCGGATTCCACAAGGGGCGTGTCACCGGATGGTCTTTATCAGATATCCCTTCCCGTCAGTGCCTTTGTTGATTGCCTTCAGGGCTGGCGCTGGACGACCCCCCCTTATCTTGTATATCTTAGGCCTTTGAATAACTACCACCCAACGATTCCCTCAGGCCCACTGCTCCTTCTTTCACAGCTTGCTGGGTGTCGCCCTCCTTGCGTCGGGTGAGACGAGTCTCAAGGCACAAACACAAACATTTATTAATTTATCACAACACATAGATCGGGCTCACGACAATTGATTCTAATTCAAAAGCACGGTAAGGCAGACAAACAAAACAAAAGTCCAGGAAAAGGCTGAATAAGCAATGCACTACAATAACTTAATAACAAGGAATAATAAAGGACATCTAAACACAATATTAAGACCGTTTTCCTTGCATCACACCAGCCCTCAGCCTGGGGTGGGCTTTCTGTGGGACCCCAGTGCAAAACAACAGAGGGCGTTAGACAAAGCCTCGCCACACACAGCACAAGGTTAGCCTGTTGCATGGAGTTGTGAAGATAGCTCTGACCTGCATGACTCCAGCACTACCTGTCCTAAGGGTTTCTTTCCCCACCCACAATTATTTTCTTGGCTGGCTTAGTTAGTGCTTTTTGCTGGTATTATGAAGCTGTGGGATTGTTTAGGGTTTTTAACGTCACAGCATTAAGATCTTATGAACTGCATGACCTCAGTGCTGTCCGATGAGGCTGTCACACGATAAATGGTGTCACTACTGTAGGCCTGAGCCTTCCCTACAGTTCCTGTATTCATTTTAAAAGAAAGAACAGAGATGGTATTTATGTGTTTATGTACATACTGAAAAAATAACTACCTTGCAGCATTTTCAGAGAATTGAATATAATAAGCACCTAACGCTGACTTCAATGGTGTTTTGATAACTAACATCCAATCAAAAACATGCTTGCACGAATAGTCAACTCACTCAGTTCCCAGTGGCATAGAGGCAAACAGTAGAGCGAACTATGTCAAGAAGCACCTTTCAAGGTTGCCCTCCTCAAGTGTGGTGATGAGTATGTGTTTAAAGACTCTCCTACCCCACTTCTAGTGTACAAGGAGGGGGGGACTGTTGCATGAAGCAGTGACAGCAGCATAGGATGCTTTTAGGGATGTGAATGTAGATGTCACAAGTGCAGTGAAGGGATAAAGCTCCAGAACTTTAAATTTGACATCAGCAGAAGGAAGATTATTAAAAATATTAAAAAGAAGGAAGATTATTATAAAGAACTAGGAGCAAGCTGGGAGAGAGAGGGAGAGACTGTGCTAATGGACTGGTCACAGAAAAGCTGGGTGATTGTTTGATGGGTGGTGTTAAAGGGAACCAAGTGATAAGCCAGAGAGAGAGACACCTTGGTAACAGAGAAGCACAGCTCTTCAAAGCAAGAGACACTTTTGGAAAGTTGAATCAGTTGTATGTCAGAAAATGCACCGAGAACAAGGATATTTACAGGTGGGAGTTCAAGCAGATTATGACTGTGACTCAATCTCTTCAGACAGGTAACACAAGTGTAAAATAAATCAAAGGGAGAAACCAGTGCAGAAAAATTAAGCAGAGGGCAGAAACACTGGAAGGAAATCTACATATCTACACAACCTAAGACTAGATGAGTTGTACACTAGTTTTGGTTCACAATCAGGCTGTAATCTAACCTAAATAATCCTTGGTGATTTGCCTTTTAAGTTTAAGACACTTGAATTCTTCAACTATTGTTTAAAACTAACACAAGTACCTCAGGCCAGCTGTTGTTGACACCCAGAAGTACTTCACACACCAATCCCTTGCAGAACACAGGCCACTATATTTCTCATACCCCGATTTCCAACATGTGCTACTTTAAACTCACTTGCAAAATACACAGAATTGATTAGGCTTGGGCATTGCTGTTACAGATACCGCAGGAACACAGTTATGGGCTCAAAACCCAGTTCTTTAACTCCAGTCTTTTTCAAAGGCTCCTCATTATATAGAAATCTTGGTGCTGAATAACAGACTAAGTTTAACAGATACTGCAGGACACAATAGTAACTGTTCACCAGGAGATAACTGAATAAGACAAGACCTTGATGAATGATCAGCTGCTTCAGGCCTATCTTGAACTGATCTTATTAAAAAACAAACAAAAACCACCCAGAAAACCCAAAAACCAAACCCCATACCTCAC